ATGCACTGGGAGCCCGACGTGGGACCCGATCCCGGGTCCCCAGGATCGCGCCCTGGGCCAAAGGCAGGCGGCAAACCGCTGCGCCACCCAGGGATCCCGGGCTTCTGCTTTCCAAACCGGATGTGATCATCTGGCTGGATCAAGGACAAGACCCATGGAGGTCAGAACAGGGACCTCCCCGAGGTGAGAGCAGGCCAGAGCCCTGGTCAGTTAACATGGTGAGGTTGTTCTCTGCAGGTCCCTGAGTCCAAGGAGGGGAGGAAGAACAGGGAGCTCCTCGGAGAACCATGCTGCTTCCTTATATCCAACAAGGCAGCCACATTCTCATCCAGATCCTCCTGTCTCTCTTCCCCCAATCCATGAGAAACACATTTCACTGCTATCTCATGTGTGAGTTCACTTCTGTTCCTATCTTCCCTTTTGTCTTCACCCCTCAACTGCTTCATCTATTCCCAGGTCCTTATGCCCTCTCTTTTTCTTGATTCCCTCATGCAGCTCCTCAGATTTCTCACACCTAGTCTTTCCCCTGCAATTGGGTGTCCATTCCTCCTCCATGTTGAACATTCCCACAACTTCTAGATGATCCAGAGGTGTGGTGAGAACTCGTACATCCTAGGGAATGGCAACAACCTATTCCTTCCAGAAGGATTCCTACTAAGTCAATTCCTGAACTTATTTTCCCACCTCTTCTTATTCCATAGGCCCACTTCCTTATATGTCCCAGTGTGTCAGCCTGATTGGAACTCTTTCTTTTTCTTCAATAGCTGTATCAAGATACAATTCATGTGCCATACAATTCATTCATTTAAAGTATGCAAAGGAGGGCACCTGGTGTTGGGTGTCTGCCTTCTGCTCAGGGCATGATCCCAGGATCTGGGATCAAATTGTGCATCAGGCTCCCCACAAGGAGCTTACTTCTCCCTCTGCCTATGTCTCTGCTTCTCTCTCTGTGTCTCTCATGAATAAATGAATACAATATTTAAAAAAAATAAAGTATGCAAAGAATTTTAGTATATTCACAGCATGCGTACTATCACTGTAAGCAATTTTAGAACATGTTCATCACCCCAAGTAATTGGGCTGCTTCTGATTTTTTTGTTATTATTTTGTTTTAATTAACCAATTTTATTTATTAGAGCAGTTTTATGTTTACAGAAAGTTGAGCAGAAAGGACCAAGTTCCCATATATCACACTTCCCACACACACAGTTTTTTGTTATTAATTTCTTGTATTCTGTGGTACATTTGTGACAATGGGTGAAGCTGTATTCACACATTATTACCAGTAGAGACCAATAGTTTTCATTAGGCTCACTCTTGGTGGTGTACATTCTGTGGGTTTGGGTAAGAGTATAGTGCCATATCTCCATCATTATAGTATCACACAAAATAGTTCCTCTACCCTAAATATCCTCTGTGCTCCAGCTGTTCTTGCCTCCCTCCACCATAATTCTTGGAAACCACTGGTTATTTTCCTCTTTCTAGTTATATCTTTCCCAGAGTATCCTGTAGTTGGAATCATGCAATATATGGCCTTTCTCAACTGGCTACTTCCAGTTGGCAAGAAGCATAATGTGTGTCCTTCACACTACCTTCAAACATTCTCCTAGCCAAAGGTAATGGGTTTATCTTGTGTGTTCCTTCTCTTTCTTACCCTGTAACTCTCACCTACAGCCTCTGTTGTTTTTTCCTCTGAAGTGTCACCTAACTTTTACTTAGCTTTGGTCCTTCAAATGATGCCATTCTGAATTCAGTTTATGGGCAATGCCTTTCTTCTCATCTATCATAGATTTACTTTCTAGCTGACTCACACAGTCCATTTTCCTCATTTTGCAATTTTTTAAAAAGATTTTATTTATTTATTCATGATAGAGAGAAAGAGAGAGAGGCAGAGACACAGGCAGAGGGAGAAGCAAGCTCCATGCAGGGAGCCCAATGTGGGACTCCATCCCCAGGTCTCCAGGATCATGCCTTGGGCTGAAGGTGGTGCTAAACAACTGAACCACCCAGGCTGCCTTCTCATTTTGCAATTGTGATGGAGACACTGCTGTAAAATGTTTAACCTCCTTTGCCCAGTTTCCAATGACCAGGCATAACTTGAATACATCATAGGCACCCAAACACTTCTTTCCTTCTTCCCATCTCTAAATACCCTTTCACTCCTTTTCATTGGACCATTGTTTTATTTGAAAAAGTTCTCATCATCAGGGATTCCACGGCAACACCAAAAAGGAACATGGCAGAATCTTGGGAAGGAGAACCGTGTTGGTCATAGAAGGTGTAGGGCTTAGATAAAGACTTTGTCCAGGGCAGCCTGGGTGGCTCAGCGGTTTAGCACCGCCTTCAGCCCAGGGCAAGATCCTGGAAACCCAGTATCGAGTCCCACGTCAGGCTCCCTGCATGGAGCCTGCTTCTCCCTCTGCCTGTGTCTCTGCCTCTCTTTCTCTCTGTGTCTCTCATGAAAAAATAAATAAAACCTTTAAAAAAAATACTTTGTCCAATAGGGAAATGTTCTCCTGGAAGTCAAAAGAGGGCCACAGAGTGTAGTTAATATTTTGCCAACTGGAGGATCCTTCTCTTCTTAACAGACATGGAGGTGAAGCATGAGACTTGATCAGAATCCTTGATAGTACTAGACATGGGTGGCTACATGACTGAAATGGGAAGAATGACAAGTAAAGGGGAAATCTCGGAGGACCTAGGAAAGGTCCTGAGCTGGGAGCCTATTCCACTCATTAGAGGCCCAATATTTCAACAGAGGGAGCAGTCCCTGTTAGGACAATAACAGGGGTGGTGATATCAATGGTACCACATGCCAGCAGTGCACCACAGGCCAAGCACCATGTGGGACTCAGCAGTTCATTTGTGCATTAGAGTAAATCGTGTAAGCTAAGGATTTTTATTCCTGGCTTACCACCAAGGAAACCAAGCTTCAGTAGTTGCTAGTTAGTTAAGCCCAGTTTCAGCCCAGCCTGGCCAACCACACTACTTCAAGGACTACAGTGCTTTTCTGGGGAGTTTGTGGCATTGATTACAGAGTTGTTAAAGAGAATTTTTCTGTGGGTAGCCTGAAGAAATAGTAGAAATGGTATGTTAAGAATATTAAGTCAGTGTTGGTGTTTGGGATCCTGTTTCAAGATGCAGAACCAGAAAATAGATAGACTGATATTCTGGGTCAATAATCTACGTTGAGGTACCAGTTAGGTTCCCATATTAATTTTTTTGTGGCTGCTGTAATACATTACTAGTTGGGTGGCTTAAAACAACACAAATTGATTCTCCCACAGTTTGGAAGGCCAGAAAAGTGAAATCAACACCATTGGGCAGGGATGCCTGGGTGGCTCAGTGGTTAAGCATCTGCGTTCAACTCAGGGCATGACCCTGGGATCCAGGATCTAGTCCCACATCGGGCTGAGCCTGCTTCTCCCTCTGCCTCTGTCTCTATTTCTCTCTGTCGTGAATAAAAATAATAAATAAATAAATAAATAAATAAATAAGATCTTTAAAAAATACTATTGGGCTGAAATCAAGATATTAACAGAGTCATGCTCCCTTGGGATAGTTCAGGAAGAAATCTGTTCCTCATCTCTTCCAGCTTCTGGTGGCAACAGCATTCTTTGGTTTGTGCCCACATCACTTCAGTCTTTAAGGCCAACATCCTCAAATATTTTTGTTCCATGTTCGTATCACCTCTCTGCATATGAAATCTCTATCTCTCCCTTATAACGACACTTCTGGTGATACTTAAGGCCCACACAGATACTCTCCCCATCTCAAGTTTTTAATTTAAGCACCTGCTAAGACACTTTTCCAAATCAGGTACCATATTCACAGGTACCAGCAATTAGAATGTAGGTATCTTTTGTGATTACTTTAGGCCCAATTCTTTTGTGGATTCCTCCTTTAATCTTGACCATTCCCTGCTTATTCATATTCCTCTCCTCCCTCTTTGGGGATCAGTTCTCCTGGGTCACCTCTTCATTATCTTTGCTTGTTTTTTATACTTTATCACTGATATCCCATTTTCTGATCCATCCCCTTTTTTACATCCTGCATAAAATTACAATCCATGGGTTAGAAACAAACCCAAAGGCATCTTCCATACTTGGTGGTCTCCTTTATCCAATCCTCCTCTTCTTTTTTTAAATATATTTTTTAATTTATTTATGATAGTCACACACACACACACACACACACACAGAGAGAGAGGCAGAGACATAGGCAGAGGGAGAAGCAGGCTCCATGCACCGGGAGCCCAACGGGGGATTCGATCCTGGGTCTCCAGGATCGGGCCCTGGGCCAAAGGCGGGCGCTAAACCGCTGTGCCACCCAGGGATCCCCCATCCTCCTCTTCAAATGCATCTTGAGTAATTCAGGCATTTTGGGTTTCTTTCAGACTGGAAGAATACATTTGAAAAGAGTCAGCTTCCAAAGAGGATTTTGCTGTGAAAGAACCATTCCACCACATAAAAATTAAACACTGCATATGGGAGGAGGGCCCCTGGTTGGTATCATTAGGAGAAAGGCATGATTGGAGGGATCACCTAAGGGAGCATCAGGAGGACTCTTTGACTCAAATGGTACTTACCTCAGAGACACTGTTTGCTCAAGGGGAACATTGTGAGCATGACCCTGGAGGAAGTTACCTGAGTTTAAGCCTTCTGTCTCCAACATTACCCACAAGAACACATTTCCATATGCTTGACTCACAGGTTAAAAGGTTGAAATGGAATTCAGTTTTCATTAATCATGAGAAAGGCTGGGCTGATTGGAACCCCTGTGAAAATCACCAAATTGTTAGAGCCTTCTGTCAGAGCATTTACCTGAATGAACTTGGAAATGTTGAAATGAGAAATAAAAAGTCTTATGAATATACTGTCACTACTGACTCTTTCAACTATGGTATCTCCCTTCGATTTCATAATAGAATTTTTTCAGCAGAGAATAGTGAAAAGTGTACAGGCTATGGAAATGTCATTAATCATAGTATGTCTCATAGCATGAATAAACCCATGCCAATTCATTTTAGAGAAAGTCAGCATGAGTGTAATGAATGTGTTATACAAACTGAAATAAGTGATCCTAAAGAAGCACCATTTAGATACAAGGAGGAACATAATGCCTTTCATGCAGCCTCATCTTTTACTGACTGTGACATCATTCAGACTAAAAAGAAATCACATGCATACAGTCAGTGTGAAAAATCTTTCAGCTGTTGCTCTAAGCTTTTTGTACACCAGAGAACACACACTGGAGAAAAGCCCTATGAATGCACTCAGTGTGGGAAGTCTTTCAGCCAGAGCTATGACCATGTCACATACATCACAGAACCCACACTGGAGAAAAGCCCTGTGAATGTAACCATTGTGAGAAATCCTTCACCCAGAGTTCCAAATTTATTAGACACCAACAGACTCACACTGGAGAAAAACCATATAAATGTCACAAATGTGGAAGATCTTTCAGGTGGAATTCTAACATTATTGTACATCAAAGAATTCATACTGGAGAGAAACCTTATGAGTGTGCTCATTGTGCAAAGTCCTTCAGGCAGATCTCTGGCTTTGTTGTACATAAAAGGACTCACACTGCAGAGAAACCCTCTGCGTGTAACCAGTGTGGGAAATCCTTCATTCGAAGCACTCAACTTATTAGGCATCTGTAAATTCACACTGGAGAGAAGCCATATAAATGCAATCAATGTGATAAAGCTTTCACTAGGGGCTCTAACCTTATTGAGCATCAGAGAACTCATACTGGAGAGAAACCTTTTGAATGTAATCCGTGTGGGAAAGCCTTTACTGGAAGCTCTCACCTTCTGTCACATCAGAGAATTCATTCTGGAGAGAAACCATATGAATGTAATGACTGTGGGAAATCCTTTTGGCAGCAGTCACAGCTTGTTGTGCATCAGCGAACCTATACTGGAGAGAAACCTTATGAATGCAGTCATTGTGGAAAAGCTTTCAACCAGAGGTCTCCCCTCATTGTGCATCAAAGAACACACATTGAAGACAAGCTCTATCAGTGTAACATGTGCATTAAAGCCTTCAGTCAGAGGTCACACCTTATTGAACATCAGAGAACACATACTGGAGTTAAGCCCTATGAATGTATTGACTATGGGAAAGCCTTTAATGATCAGCCAACCCTTACAAAACACGAGAGAATACACACTGGCAAGAAACCCTATGAATGTAATCACTGTGAAAAGGCCTTTAGTCAGTGATGTCAATTTACTAGGCACCAGAGAATTCATACTGGAGAAAAAAAACCCTATGAATGTAATGAATGAAGGTTTTCAGTTATTATACATTCCTTATTCAACGTGAAAAAACTCAAGGTAGTAAAGCTGAATAATCAAGATGGAGAAGCTCGCCGCCAAACTTTATTATAGACATCAGGTGACAAAAGTATGACTCTCAGAGTGTGGTCTAATGACCACATCAGGTATGTTTGTAGTGTTCATTGAAACTGCACATTACCAAGCTTAACTTGATCTCCTAAATCAGAATCTCTGGCAATAAAACCCAGGAGCCTACAGTTCCCAGATGCAGCACAAATAATTTGTATGTACATTAAAATGTGTTTCCTGCTGCATTTAAATGAGAAACTGTGAACATACCACGATTTAAAACTTTATCAGAGCTTTTAGCAGGAGTTAGGAAATTGAATATGTAGCTATATCCATCAAATAATCTTTTTAGTGTAAACAACCATCCAAATTTAATCGGACATTGTCTCTATAACACATTCCTAGAAATAATGGGCTGGAAGATTTTCTCTTTTTAATTTTACTTTATTGGACTGGAAGATATTCTTGATACAACGCCCCAAATATTCAATCTAAGAAGAAATCTTTGCATGGCAAAGTTAGTGTTGAGTGATGAATTACAAAGCCAGTCAATGTAAGCAGTTAACACAAATTGGAGGAGGACTGAAGATGGGAAGTGTTCTGAAATGGTTTCTGTTGGAATTAAAAATAGACTCTGAATATGTCAAGGACTCCATTGTGCTCTAATTTAACTTTGTTGCTCAGGTTGACTATAATCAGAGCTGGATGTATGGCAATATGGAAAATATTTATCAGGTGAAGTGAAAAGAAGACCCAAAGTAGTATATACACAAAATCTTACAACCACATAAAAAAACATATACACAGATGGTTGATTAAGAAGGTCAACTCAGCAGCATGTTAAAAAAAAGGCTGACATGTGAACATTGGTGATGAAAGTGGGAGAAGCCATAACTGCCAATTTGGTCACAGTAAAAGCAGATGTGAAAGCACCATCTGGAGACGCAGAGTGGAAAGGCTGAAGCCAGTTTCATGTGAAGAGAGGGCTGCAGCAGAAGAGGTCACAGCCCCCTGGCAGAACTGTATACCAAAAGGTGGATGAGAAAATGGGTCTAATTGAAGATTTAGCTATGAAACTCCACATTTGCTCTCCCTTCTCCCCCCTTTTTTTCCTTGTCTTACAGTGAGTATCTGGCTGTGGGTAAACAAAAAATAAAGTAGGGAGGAAGTTATGTACAGTATGTATAATCTGGGGAACCAGAGAATTTGGTTGATTATATTCCAGAACAAAGGCTGCCTTATTTGGGCATTACAAGGACCTTCATCCTAACAGCTGGTTCTTGTACTTTTCACCCTCTAGCAAAGCATGCCGTTAAACCAGTCTCACCCTTGGGATGCCTGGGTGGCTCAGCGGGTGCTCAACCACCCGCTCATGGTGTGATCCTGGTCTGGGGATCAAGTCCCACATTGGGCTCCCTGTGGGGAGCATGCTCCTCCCCCTGCCTGTGTGTCTGCTTCTCTCTGTGTCTCTCAAGAATAAATAAATAAAATCTTAAAAAAAAATAAACCAATCTCACCCACCTACTTGAACTTCCCCTCTTCTTTGATAGCCTCTTCAATATGGATGGGAGCCAAGGCATGAAAGATGAAGAAAGCCTTCAACATGAAAGAAAAAATATGTAAGGCCAAAAAGAAATCAGCCTCAAAAGAACAGATATTCAGGGAACCAAATATTTAAAAGTCTTATTCTAACTAACAGTGAGTCAAAAAAATAACTGCAAATGAAAAAGAAATCCAAGATTCTCTCTTTTTTTAAGATTGATAGATTTTTTTGAGAGAGTGAGAGGGGGAGGGGCAGAGGGAAAGGGACAGAATCTCAAGCAGAGCCTGATGTCAGGCTTAATCTTATAATCCTCAGGACCTGCTCAGAACCTGAACAAAATCAAGAGTCAGACACTTAACCAAGTGAGTCACCCAGGCACCCCAAGATCCATGAATATGACCCTGATGCTAATACTTCTTCTTACAAGAGGCAGAGAACTGATGAAATTGGAATAAAAGAGGGGGCTATATAATCAGATTGTTTTGATTTCCCCTTCACCAAACAGTGCTTGCATAGATCTGATATAAACAGGAGGTATTGAGTTTTGTTTTTGTTTTTTGCTTTTTTTAAGGAAGAAAGCCATGTGACATGAGGATTTCATAATGGCAAGAGTAGAGCATCATTGTTCCCAGCATTGTTACTAACAGTAATGGTATAGTCTGTAGCTGTTGTAAAGTAGAAGGGGAAAGAGACATAGTTCCTCATCTTAGGAAGTAGCCTCTTAAATATAATATGATAGATTGTTTAGGATACCAAAATTAGAGCACAAAATGGTAATATGACAGAAATTGGAAAAAATAGAGGAGCAACATTGTGAATCAACTCTACATTCCTTTTAAGAGCAGGAAGTCAGTAAATTAACAGGCCATAAAAGATTAGAATTACAGAGATGGCCTCAGGAAGAACTGGAATAGGAACAGTTAAAAGTCGTTGGTGGGATGTGTGACTATTAGATAGGGTGGGGCAGGAGACCACTGGTTTTCATTTTATACCTCCCATAGTAACTCTTTCCTTGGTGGTACACTACTTATCTGGGTAACAAATTCTTTCCAACATGTACCTATAGATGAGCAAGACAACAGTACATGGGGATATCTGCAATTGATTTGTGGGATTATATACAATTTTCTTTCTTTTGATTCAGGGTTGCTGTAATAGTAGATTGACAATTTAAAAAGCAAGAGCAGGGATGCCTGGGTGGCTCAGCGGTTGGGATGCCTGGGTGGCTCAGCGGTTTAGTCCCTGCCTTTGGCCCAGGGTGTGATCCTGGGGTCCTGGGATCAAGTCCCACATGGGGCTCCCTGAGTGGAGCCTGCTTCTCTCTCTGCCTGTGTCTCTGCCTCATGTGTGTGTGTGTGTGTGTGTGATAAATAAATAAAATCTTTATTAAAAAATAAAATAAAAAATAAAAAGCAAGAGAAAAAAAAAGCAAGAGCAGGGGTGCCTGGGTGGCTCAGTTGGTTGAGCTTCTGCCTTCAGCTCAGGTCATGATCCCAGGGTGCTGGGATCGAGCCCTGCAAGCAGGAGCCTGCTTTCCCCTCTTCTTCCACCATTCCCCCTCTTGTGCTCTCTTGTGCTCTCTCAAATAAATAAATAAAAATCTGTTTAAAATAAATGAATATGGGATGCCTGGGTGGCTCAGCGGTTTGAGTGTCTGCCTTCGGCTCAGGGCATGATCCTGGAATCTGGGATCGAGTCCCGCATTTGGCTCCCTGCATGGAGCCAGCTTCTCCCTCTGCCTGTGCCTCTGTGTCTCTCATGAATGAATAAATAAAATCTTAAAAAAATAAAATAAATGAATAAAAATAAACAGCAAGGGTTTTTTTTAAAAAAAGATGTCAGACTTTTCTATTTGGCTTTTCTATTAGACTTTATCCAGGGGGCAGGAAGGCTCCTTGGCTTCTTAGAAGTCCCTGGTATTAAAGGGGGGTGGTTTAGTCTTTAAGATGTGATTTTCCAGAAACCTAATACCAGGAAGTCAGAAGGCTCCCAAGAGTGGGGACCTAGAGAGGTACCAGTATCCTGGGACAAGATGGGGCAGGATAGTCGTGCGAATGTGCATAAACGATTACTGAATGTACTTCCCTCAAGGTCACTCTGGCAGTTACCTGGTATCCATTATAAAACCCTTTAAGTAATATAGCTCTCATGATTCATATGAAACCCTGAGGTCGAGATGGAAAATGTCTGGGCTAGGACAGCCTGCACAGAACAGATGGGGACTTTGCTTTGGATGGTTGATCCTGCTGCCTAGACCAATGTTATTGTATAGCTCTCAAAAGATGCCAGAACCTGAGAGAAAAATCTGCCCAACAGATCCAGCGAAGTGCATGTTGTTTGACAATTCTTGACCAAACACTTGAGAGGTGTCTGCATACAGCAAGTCATGAAATTAGCAATGAAGGCACTACTAGAGACTCCAGGACGGAAGATGTGTGTGATGCCAGTGTCCTCAAGTCCCTCTTTCCATAGTGGGGACTCCACGCAGGGGCTTAGTGGTTATGTGCACTTGGAGACTAACCCCTGTGGGAATTGGAAGAAGGAGATGACAGGACAGGGAATGGAAGGATGCAGCTGCTGCTGTGTAAGCAACCAGTGCATCAGACCCTGCTCTGATAGGTGTTCTACCCCCTCATAGGTGAGAAACCTGAGCCTCCTAGGACCCAAGAAGTGGGCTTATTTGAAATAGGAACCTGAAATCCCCACCTGAATGGTTCCCATATCCAGAGGCCAGTGGTTCCTGATTGAAACATGCATAAGACCCACCTGAGAGAAGGTTTTTGGATTGGAGTTTCCTAGGCCCATCTTCAGAGAGTCCACTTTGTTCAGGTTGAGGTGGTTCCTAGATATTTGCATAGGTCAAGTAGACTTTCTATTTTTTTTCTTAACGTTTTGGGGCTTGTTTTGTTTTCTCTTTTAAAGATTTTAAAGTAATCTCTACACCCAATGGGCTCAAACTCACAACCTTGAGATCTAGAGTCACATGTTCCACCAACTGAGCCAGCTAGGTGCCTTGGTGTGTTAAACATTCTTAGTAATATTCTGGTTGAGGTTACTAGCTGGAACTTTTGTTTACTCTGCAAGCATGTTGAATCATGGTATTTCATGAAGACAGCATGAGCAGAATGGTGTTGACCTAAGATGACTCTCAGATCCACTAACTAACTGTACGTTTATCCTTCTGGGGGCTGTGGAAGCTTCTAGTTTTCTTTCAGCAACATCGCCTTAGCTCTTGAGGATATGATACTAAGACTGTGTGAATTTTGTCAATTGGCTATCAAACAATGTTCTCTGTGTATTTAATGTTACCCAAGTATTATTTATACTATTC